ACATTTAATTTAAATTAAATTAAATTTGATTTATTTAATACCACACATGTAATTTAATGTCTGTTTGTTATCTGCACCTGTGTTAAATAATCCCTCCTGTGGATCAATATCTCATCCTGCTCCCGAAAAACCTGATCATCCTGCAAGCCGCGAAGCAGGAAAACGAGCGCACCCTTATATAGACTCCGCCCCGCGGGGTGTCGATGGGCGGGGTCTGCTCTCTGGTTGGGAAGAAACAGCGAAATGGGGGGGGGGGGGGGGGGTGTGTGAAATGAGGTCACGCAAGCCTTTCATACGCGGATGTTAGGTCGTGCATCGCCATACATCCACTGTTACTGTCTCAGGCGAAGTAAAACAGGGACCAATAAAGGTGGTGGGCGGCAGAGAGGCAGTCAAACTGGGCCCCCTCCATGCAGACAGGCGATCAGCTGAGCCATGTTAACAGAAACACCTCCAGCACAAGAAGAAGCTCACACCGACACTTGGTACAACGCACAGAAATCTTTTTATTACATAACAGGCTTTAGTGGGCTGACACACACACACACACACACACAACCAGCCAGTGAGCCGCTGTTACACAAAAGACCATCAGTACATTATCAGCAGCACACACACAGATCATACACACACACACACCACAACATCACACAACAATTTATTATCACAACAAACAAGTCAGAAAAAAATAATGCTACTCAACTGGATTTCGTTGATGAAAGCGTAATAATGTGCATACGTGGACTCCAACAGCACCGCCACCATCGTCTTTATGCATTTTATACTAAATTAATCCTTAGAAATAACTTCGCTGATATTCTAGCTTCTCTAAATAAGATTATCCCCTGTATGCACCACCAGGAGGCGACAGACTACAGTCCACCACAAAGCGATTAGGTCCCACATTGGGCCATCTGGTTGTTTACAGGCAGAATGAGAAAAATCTACACATTGATAATAACACGTTTTCAAACACACCATACAGACAGAAAGTAATTTAAATGCAAATGATTAATAAAAGGGTATGTGCACAGGACTGATATGGTTCAATTTATATATATTTTTAATGTTTTAATAGCTTTTAAAACAGATTTAAATAATTGTCGGGGTAAAAACAGGGGAGCACCTTAGGAAATGTTCTTTTTCTTGAAACCTATTTCCTAGACACACAACAAAGACATAAACAAAGAGGACATTAATTCAACATGTAAGTGTGAGAGAACTAATAATTCACAGCATTAATGGTGTTAAAGGTGTTGTACCTGTGTAAAACCTTTTTACGAGAAGAAGCTGTAGAGATAGGAGAACCCAACGATTCCAATGATGGCACAGCACAAAGTAATCATCATCTTTTTCTGTCGGATTCAATCAGAAAACAGAGAGTTAGTCAGACAACAGCGTGCAGTCATTCACGAGTCACAGCCAAACACAAAACAATTATTCACATTTATGGACACACTAAGTTTGAGGAAATGATTGAGCAAAAGGAGAACAAAGGGTCAAAGAGGTTAGGGTGTGTGTATTTGTGTGTAAAGAGAGAGAGAGAGGAAAAGGTGAAAAAAACAAAACAATCTTACCTCCTCTTTGACACCAGTCTTTAAAAGCTGTACTTTGCAACACAGTGGTTAAAATGCTGGGCCAACAATGTGCTGACAGCAGCTACTGCCATCCCATAAAGAAAAAAGAACATTCACACAGCTCTACAGTAAAGTCATCAAAAAGTGTACAAATTCAGTTACATATTGACATCCAGTCACTCATAAAGAGCAGGGAGGAGATCGAAAAAGGAAACACTCGTCAACCAGTCATTAAAAAACATAAAATCTTTAATTTCCATTAAAATCACTGGCACCTTAATTTAAAACATTGTACAACAGCTTCAGTTTTCTTCCCCTCCTCATTGCAGCCTGTGCTGATGGCTAAAGTGGTTTTGGAGAAGAAGAAAACAAAGCTTGAATAGACGCATTAGGATTGAACAGCTGAGGACAGAAGCCAAAAAGAGAGCAGACTGTGTGGTCAAAAGACCAAGCTGGAGGGGCCTCTCACTTTGAAGTGCTCCCTGCACAACCAGAATTAAAAAGGCACCATTCAGGCTCTGGTCTGGAACAAAGACTTCTCTCAGTGACGGCAGCCCTCATAATGCACAAATGATCTACACATGTGGTCAATATCTGTTGATTAAAATGGATCAGTCTCTTCTCTTTGATGATTGGACGTAATATCTCTGACACAGTCGTTGTACGGACAGCTGGAATCACCTGCTTCGACTGACTTGTTAAATCCACTGTGGTTGAATCAGCTGACACATTCCCTCTACCAGGAAGGTAAGGTCTAATGAAATGATGGTGACCAACCAGAGTTAAACACAGTTGCCGATTTATTGGGTACACAAAGCTGAAATAAAACCTGCCTAGTAAAGCAGTTTCATCAATGTGTTTTCTTAAAAATATGGACTCAAACCAGAAGAAAACATCATGTTATAATGTTGTTTTTGTTGAAACTGTTTTAGATTCAACTGGAGGTTGTACTCTGTGGTGCTGTTAAATTGTAAATTGTTACATTGAGAGTTGTTTCTAATATTTTGTTCACCCCGTTTATATCGAGGGCAGACTAAATATTAGACACGCTGCTTAAGTGTAATGTAACACAATTCAAAAACACCACTAACTATTGGCTCTGAAATATATCTACAAAGTTTAACTAACATATCTCTGAAGCTGTTTAAACAAAAGCTGAACATTACAACCTTCGTGAACATAGGATTTATTGCAGGGCTGCTGTATTATAACGCATTAGTTTGAGATAGCTGTACCCAATAAACTGGCAACTGAGTATATTTATAGTAGAAATATGAGACCTAAAATAAGCCAGGAAAAGCATCTCACACTAGTAAAGAGCCACCAGTCAGGGAGACCTCACTGTGTGTTAGAGTTTCCATTTACACCTCATCCTGTATTAACTTTCTCAGCGACACGGCATTAAAATGTCCGATAAATATAAAGGCTAATCTGGCACTTACAGGGAAAAAGCTAGTGTTACTACCGATCTCCCTTTACTCCCTTTGGCATTAAAACAATATGTTTTTACAGCTCTTTAACAAGGGAGACAATCATGTCTATGTATGTAAAAGGTCAAGATGGCTAACATTGTAGCAGGTTAGCAAAGATACAAAACAAATAATCAGGCATTTCTTCCAGACGTTGCAGTGTTCGGGTAAATCTTCCACCACCCCCACAGCCTGTCTTTCTTTTCTTTTTTTGCTTGTTTGCTTATCTTAGCTCCACCTGTCCATGAGATGTGTTTCCATAAGCATCATCCTTCACATTTAAAAACCAGAACCACTGGGTTCTCCAAATTGAAGAATCATAAGTGAGCACACCGATCCTCTTCAAGTTAAAGAACCGGGACATATTCGTGGCTAGATATCAACAAAGAAATTCTAATAATTCTATTATTTACATGATCATCTGAGCTTAGTTACAGACATATAATAAGACATATTCTGAAATGTGCAAGTGCTGGAACTCCCCAAAACCAACCTAATCCAAATACAGTGAACATACAGTAGCTATCTTTCAATCACAAAATGTGTCAAGGCTCATAAAGGCAAGAAATAACAATGATACAGGAGGTGATGTGTGCTTCTACACGGCTTCACTTACTGGAAATTAAAATAATGCTCAGATGACAAACACGTATTCTTTGGCACTGAATGTTGAACAATGAAATGTTTAGTGACACTGGAGTGATGTCATGATCAGTTAGTTTTCAATTCCCTTTTCCCATCCACAGAGATACCACAGGTATTGTACCTCATTGTCAGCTTCAGTCTCATTTCCTCATTTGTCATTTGCAGCACAGCATCCTCAAACTGTCCAAAGCCACCTGAGAGTCAGACAGACCCTCACAGAACCAGGAAGGATGGAAGTCTTGTAGGTTTTCTTTTTCCCATAGGTCAAACGTAACATTAGACCTTCAGTTTGTTTTTTATTTGATCTGCTGGTTAAATATTATTGATATCCATATGGAGAGATTATCAGGTTTTTTCTTTGGTGGGCCAGCTGATGGAGGATAGAGTAGAGTGGGTGATGCATGAACTCATGACGGCGGTCCTGCTATAATGTCTGTGTGAGGATGATGATGAGGAGGATGAGCACAACCACAGCACACACGGCACCAATAATGATTATCTTCTACAGAGAGGGAGATACACAGAGAGAGAGACAAAGTTAAGAATACAGTGAATGACGGGGGAACACGAGCATTGAAATGAGCCCACAGACCAAACACCAGCTGAAACTGCAGCTAACTCAGCTAGCACTGCTTGGTTTCTTCAGCAGTAACCCGAGGCAAGTGCCGCGGAATAGGAGAAAAACACACACCCAGGAACTTCCAATACACATAAACACACCTCAAAGTAAGCCATCTGGATAGAAAGAAAACACAAACACACACACACACACACCCCCAGACACACACACAACACACAGAGCCTGAGGGAAAGAGTGTGCAAACCCTTTTCCAAAGCATGCTTCATACCCACACCCACTGTGGCACTACAGAGGTTATTTGCTCCAGAGTTACTCACCCTTAGCTCTCCTCTTATTCAAATAGCTCATCAGCTTCGCTTCAATCCCACTGACAACCCGATTATGAGAGCTAGTAAGGCCAGCAATACCAGCACAACCACCACAATTATCACCATTTTCTGTTGGGAACAACCAAGTACACACAGTACCGTCAGGACCATTCTCAGTGGGAATCAACAATAAGTATATCCATAATCTACACATATGCAACAATTGTGAAATCTACTACTGTATGTTATACAGTATTTATACTAGTTTTGGATGAGGGAACAACAATGACCGTATCATTATCAAGATTTCGTAGCTAGGTAACCACACAAACTCTGCATCAGTCCCGCTTAAGTCTGATAAACCAGTTTTGTCTTGGCACAACAGTGTTGACTTTATGTTCACCTGTCAATACAAAATGTATTTTAACAAACATGCCGCAACAGCCTTAAGCTAACGAGCAATATCTTCAAACACAGACACAACTAAAGCACAATGCAGCAGTCATGAGCCGGCTGTAAACAAAGACAACGTTACGGTGAGAAGCTGGAGAGAGAAAGAGAGAAAAGAGTGTGGAAGCTGTCAGTGAGTGTGTGGAAGTAGGTGGGAGGGGGGTGGTTTTGGTTCTGGGTCTTGGTACCGGGCAGGTCAGTGGTGTCCACAGGCCACAGGATGGTGGAGGCTCAGGAACAGAGCACATAGGAGGGTCGGGGGTCATCACAAGTCATCACAGGTTAAGGATCAGGTGAAGATCAGGATTTGATGGTGGGGATGGTCTTCGAGTTTTCAGCCAGGTTTCCCAAAAGCATTTTTCTGTTAAAGAGGAATTACGGTTCTTTCCACTTTTCATAAACTAACCGGGCATTCAGACAATGTAGCCCTGTGTTAAAAATTGGTGTTTTATGGTGTTTTAGGTGCTGGTGACACTGACGCCAGTTTAAGTAACACATGCATGAGTTTGAAGGTTTATCAGATGCTATAAAACTGCACAGTGGAAAGCTGCAAAGTAATCTACTAGGAATGTGCACTTGCATGTAGTTCATTGGCCGACGCTGCATTTTGCAAAACTTAAGCCACATAGATTGTATTTCTTAATCACTACAAGGCCAGGCCTGTGAACTTGAATCTGACTCAGTCTTTGTCCGTGACATCAAATTTAATCCATTTAATTTTTCCTATCTTTGTGCTGTCTGTAACAGCAAACGAAAAATTCATCGCTGTTCTATTGTAAATAATAAAATAAAACTGTTTGCGTTGCTTTTGGGAAACCGACCGCTCTTCCCGACTGTAGTCACTCACACGGCGAGCCTCTTGCTGAAACTTTGCCGCTTTCTTAGTGTCCGCTACGGCCCGCTCCACAAAGCCCACCGACTGGTCCATGTTGCTCTCAATCCTGTCAATCATTCCACCCTAACATTGGGCACGATGACAGAGGTGACGAAAAGCAACAAGAGAAAGTAAATAAGAGAGAGAGAGAGAGAGCGAGACAAAGGGCGAAGCCCACAAAACGCGGCAGTTGATGGCAATGTGTCTGCAGGGCAAAGGAGTGTGATCTGTATGCACAGTGTGGTTGAACTGTGTCAAACTGAAAAAAATGTGATGTGTCTAGGAAATAAGCAGAAAAGGAAACAGGAAGAGGTCAAATGCAGACTGGTGCAGTAGTTTGCTAAATGACATTACCTTGCGAGCTTTGGTCTGGTACCTTACAGCTTTTTTGGTCTGTTCCTTAGCCACTGTTATGTGGTCCACTGACTTGGATACATTCTGCTCTATGTTGTTTACTATGTCACCCTGAAAAACAACACAACCACCAATGAGATACAGAGCAACAAGAAAAGTATAGTACATATTTTGAAAAATACTATCGGGTTTGACGTTGATTATATTGTCAAAACCTCTAGTGTTACACAAGTGAAGGCCAGACAGCCATGAGGCGACTGTTTTTAATGTCAGGGGGAAGCATTCATATTTATGTTGTTATGTTATGTTAAAACTAAAAACTGTAAATAAAAAAGGTTAAGAAAACAGTTTCCAGGGAAGAAAAATCACACAACACAAACAGCAGGTGTGACCCTTACCTCAAACAAGCCTTTCCCTCAGAAAGCATGGTGCAAGCAGCAAGAAATATGTGGTTAGACGTATGTATGCATATATGTACAGTAAATGACTAATTCACTCTGGTGTAAGTCTGCTCTGATGTCTACAATGATGCTTTATTCATACATCTTACTAAATGCATTCATGTTGGTTCCATCAGTGTTGGGTGATGAGATGGTGGCAGTGGCAGAAGAGAGTAAAGAGAGGTAAAAGAAAGGCATGGAGCTGGAAAAGAGGAAACAGACACAGATGCAGATTGATAGTCAGACCACAGTGGTGACAGGAGGGGAAATAAACAGGAGAAAAAGAGTTGAATACAGTCAGGTTTGAACAACTGGGAAAGGGCATTGGAAAAGGTTAAGAATGAATGTAGAGTGAATAAATGAATGAAATGGGTGACAGATTCCTAAAGGTGGGTGGAATCATGGGTAGGTGGATGTACTGTACCTGGCTCTCCACCAGCATGGCGATGTCTACAAACATATCGTGTAACTCTTTGATGCTACTTTCCAGACGGACGATATCTTTGTGTCGGGCCTCAATCTCACTCAGGGCTTGTTTAGAGATGCCAGAGTCAACAATCTGTGCAGAGGAGGGGTTTATTGTTACCACAGGTTCAGACAGCGAAATCATATCCTAGTATAAGATTTCGTCTTTATTTGTTCTGATCAGTTCGGCCATGATCTGGTTTAGTTTGCATCCTACCTGAAAAGGCAGCTAACTAGGAAGTGAACTGAAAATGACTGGTTCTTCTAGCAATACCGAGAAGTATATACAATTCTTCCAAATTAAAGTGTCACCGCTGCTTTAAAAGGAAACGAGCGTTCACTTCATAAACCTGGCAACCAGTGTTAGTTCTCAGTAGGTAGAGTCCAATAATTGCAGGGTTGGCGGTTCACCTCCTGGCTCCTCTTGTCCACATGTCAAATTCCAGTTCCTCTCGATCAGGCCGGTGTGTTGCATGGTGACTTGCTACCAGTGATGTGTGAGCATGTGTGTGTGAATAGTTGAATTACAGACACACTGATGCAGCCCATTTACCAAATATAGGGGGTACACTAACCTTACCCGTGGGATCTAAAAACCATGTGTAGATTCAATTCTTTAGGGCCAATGTGAATTATAACTCATCAATCAATTCTGTGCTATTTGCTTTTATGTAATGTTTGACAACGTGTGCTGTGCAGTTTTGGTGCCACAGAAAAATATATAAACTATCATCAGGAAGAAGAAATGATCTCCTACATTCTCAGGGTACACTCCCAAGTTAGATTGTATCATAGCTGCTGGTTTATCATGCTGTCTGAAACTTTGAGATGGGTTAAGCATTACTGGTATTAGCTGTAGTAGGAAAAAGAAAGATCTCTTTATCTGCCATTTATTTCTTTTAAGAATTGGCCATTGGATGTCAGATAGTATGTCAAAGGAGGTGTGAGGCCAAAATTCACATGCACAGCTAATCTTTAATCAGTTGATATGTTTTTAGCTTTACTGACAGCTTGGCTTTCTCTCAGTTCAACCCCACCCTGATCAGTGTCAAGAATGTTAGAGTACCGTTAGAAACAGCTGTAATGTAATGTACACACACACACACACACACACACACACTTACCCCTGCAGTAAACACAGCAGCATTGCCACTCTCCAACATCTCTTCCAGTTCATCATCTGTTGTTGCTTTTCCAGCTGGAAACCGAAGGAAAGGACAAGACAGGAAAAAGTTAATGACACAGAATACCATGTGACCATCACATGACTTAATGTCTGTGTATGCGAGTGTCACTCACTGATCTCTAGCTGTCTCTGAATACGTCCTTTACTCCTCTCCCTGAAGTCCACCTGCGCTTCATTATACTTTGTCATTACCTCCACGAACTTCCTGGACAGCACTGCATGCTGGGAGACAACAGGGAACAAAATGAATTAACACAACAGTAAACTGGGATGTACTGACAATTTGCCTCAAGTCAGGCATACATGTCAGGATCGATACCCCGAATCACATCTCACAAATGTCAAACATACATTTTCATGTCAAAGACGGAAGTTTACACAATGTTCTAAATATATTGTGGATTTTAAATCCGAAAAGAATCATGCAAATAAGCCTGTTCATTTTTAATTTACCTCACACACAATGTTTTTAAATTCTGCAGTAAGAAGGTTTCCATGAAACCAGCGTGACTTCAGGTGGACATCATTTACCTGCGATTTACGTATCCGCATGTCAGCCGACACCCTCTCCTGCTCCTCTGACTCCAGATTCCTCTCGATGGCTGGGAAGCAATCCAAATGATTTATGATTCAACCACACATCACTGTGGAATTTGTCAGTAACATTTCACATTAAATCCATTAAACGTCCCTACACCCTGTGTGTGTGTGTGTGTGTGTGTGGTGGTGTGTGTGTGGTAGGCAGACTCACTCTTGAGTTTGTTTCTTGCATTGTTGGCCATCTTCTTTATGTCATTGGTGATTGCCTCCAAGTCATCCTGTGTTTCTGGGAAGGAAGTGACATTTTGCAGAAAGTTAGCAATGGGGAGAGAGAACCACATTTATTACAGATAAACAGGTAATGTTCTCAAGTCAAATGACACTAGGGAAAGATCTGCCATCTTCCAAACTGCTATCCCTTGATTCTCTGATGTTTTTAAACCAGTGAAGCTAGACAGAAAAATGCAAAAAATTGCATCTTAAGAGGGAGAAACATTAGTAAGGGGTAGGATTAGGTTAGAAAAACAACCTTAATATGACCCTAAGTGAGTAGGGTGAGGTGAATAGGAAGAAAAGCTGGTAGTAATATCTTACTCTGATCTGATGTGGGAGCAGACAGGATGACCGAGTAAAGCTTTTTGACTTCAGCCACATTCTCATCAATTTTATCAATGCTGTTCCTGATGTCTTCAATCTGAAAAACACACACACACACACACACAACACACACACACAGCATGAATCTCAAATGTATGCAAATGGCAAAAATTAAGACGGTCACAAACATTCACCCATGTAACCGACACACTAATACACTGATAGTCACACTAACCTGACAGAAGAACTCGTCCATGAAGGCTGCGTTGTCCACAGCGATCTCCACGTCCTCGTCATCTTGATCGCATGTCTAACAGGATGAAAGTAAACGCTTTATCAGAGTAGTTCCAGCTGGCCAGAGAGAACGTGGGAAGGGTATTACATGTTTCTGCCAAAGCTCAGAATATAAAGCATGTCATCAACACCTGGGGATTAAAGTTTCATTCAGACGCAGACACCTCTGTGTGCCCGTATGGCAATTTATATCCACTGTTAACCATTCATCTAGGATTTGTCAATTGCTGTTTGAAAACACACGGTTCGAAGTTGGTCCCACCTCGACGCGGCTCAATGAACGTGAGAGCGAGAGCAGCGGCGGTCGAGCAAGCTATAGAATTAATGAAGAGAGGGGGTGGCGTGACACAGGGGTCAATCAGAGAAATTATTTGCCACATGTCCACACATCTACACACAACCATGCGCGCGTCAAGTTTGTGTGAATGCCGCATTTCATCTTGTTTGCTGTGGCTTCTTTGCTCTAAGTGTGTTTGTGTGCGTGTAGCTCAACCCCGCCCTCGGTCTAACACACACACACAGACCACTGCTACATCTTTATAGAGTCTCGACCTCCCCTACAGTCACACACCACCCTGCGCAAAGGTCAATGCTCAGAAACGCCCTGAACGCAGCAAAATAATAAAAAAAAAATAGAGGCAGAGGGCAGATACAAACACTGCCACGCACTTCCAGTGGGCCATAGGTGATGAATGAAAGGAATTGTTTTTGTATGAGTCTATACAACGAAATCCTGTTATGCACTTAAATCCTGTGTCTATTATCACCTTGTGGTCGTAATGCCTTTTTAGGTTTGTAATAAACGAATACTTCTGCAATACTTCTGAGTATCTGGCTGCAGACGAAAGGGCAGACCTCTGCAAGAGCACGCACAGGAGGCACCGCTGGTCTCTGAGTTAGCCGTGCATCTGGCCAGGCCGTACTGTACCAAAACACAACTTTATATTTTTATTCAATAAAAGCAATATGAGGCACTGAATTTGATGAATTTAGTGTTCATCAGAGACATCGAGCGAGTGAGACAAGAATTAGGTTGGAAAAACAATAGACATTGCCACAGCGGAGTATTTCTGGGGGCCGTGCCTCACAGATTAATGTACAAAAACATTTAGAACTTTATTGACAGATTCTGAGGAAAAAAACAACCTTAAACTGGGTGGACCTGTTTGATTTCATTTGCGGACAACTGCATTGTTACCGGTGGATGTACAGTATGCCAACTATAACGTTAACAGAAATAACCTAGGTCCACCAAGCTTGAGCAGCCCTTGCATCTTCTTCATATTCAGCGTACAGACACGTGAGTGGTATCAATGTTCTTATGTCACTCTCAACAACAAAGCAAATATAAACCATCACAACACTAAGCAACTGTAGAATATTTGCAAACTCATGATTTAAACCAGAAACTAAAGAATCAAAGAACAGGAATACGTCAAATAACAAGTAAATAAAACTAAGAATCTGGCCAATCATTACATATTGTGCCAAATAGATACATTTTGGTCTTTTTGTTATTTTTATAGGCCAATAGCAATATTCTATCTGAAGACTGTGTTTGGATTTTGTGTCTGATTACTGTTTTTTTTTGTCAGGGTGGAAAATCCACTGTCTAGCACTTAGACCACAAACAACCACTTACTAATGAAATTGCTTCCTGGTTAGCAGCTGAAAACATCAGCTAGAAATATTGGTCTGACCCTAATCAGCCTCCACTCAATAAATTCAGAGAGCGTCACTCTGTGAGGTCATAAATGTGTCACAAGGGACAGTCGGTAAACACAGGGCAGTGCCGCAGGTTTGCCACAAAGACCGGCTGCTGAATATTTACACGGTGAGGGACAAGGGCCGGGCTCCAGGAACTCAACCTGTTTTCTCCTGGCTTTAAAAAAACCACAGGGGAGGTACAGTAAACAGAAGTCACAGGGCCGTGCTGTGGCGGAGTTAGGGAGGAATGACAGAGGGAAACTAGGAATTAAAAGGGACAGTAAGCTCACTTTGTTCCCTCTTCTTTTCAATTACTTCTGCATTTTACAGACACATCTCCAAGCACCTAGAGAGTGTACATCTGCACTCTTAACATGTAGTAGTTTGTATTCTTGTTTTCTAATGGGTGACCGAGAGTCTGAAGTCTAGACACTTGACTTTCCTGGAGAAAGTAAGTCTGGTTCAAAGTCAAGGCATGGAAAAAGTTAAGCCAACACACCTGACGACGTCCCTCATATCACCTGACTCGGCCTCTGTCTCTAAATTAGTCTCAATAAATATAAATATTACACTTCATTTACCCTGAACTAGAATAACTCTGTAACTTTAATTATTCTCTTTAACTTCATAATGGACCTACCATGTTTATTGGTTACTCACTGCACAATACAGTCATTTAAAAAGGAGCAAACAGCTGAAA